AAGAGAGTGAGTGCCTTGCGCCAATGTCAGCCTGGCTGTTTGCCCGTTCTCATCGAGACGGGGCGCGCGTGCGGGCTCGGGCGCAACTCACGTCAGGATGGTCAAGGCCGAGCTGGGCACGGTGCGGATGAGGTTGACGCCCATGCCCTTGTAGAAGCCGCGGATGCCCTCTTCCCTCGCAATCGTCTTGCACGCCTGCAGCAGGCCCGAGTACTTGCCCTTTGTTATCGTCGACCCCCCGGATCCCGCTCCCGCTCCCGCTCCACCCGCCCCTGCTGCTGCTGCTGATGCCCCCATTGCTCCTCCTTCTGCCGCTGCGCTAGTTGATGCCGCTGTCATCCGGGTTGGAGACGACGACGACGACGACGTCGGTGGCGATGCTGCTGATCTTGTTGTTGCCGCCGTCGTGGTGCTGCCGGCGCTGCCCGAGGAGCGGGGCTGCATCTGTAACCGCGTACGCAGCACCTCGTGCGGGTAGGTCGTGACGCTGGCAATCATCTTTGCGCTGCTGCTGCACGCCAGGATCGTCGTGGGCTGCAGCTCGCCGTTGCCGCCGCCGCCGCCGCCGCGGTCGAGGGTGGCCTGCCGTGCGTAGCCCTTGAACGCCTCGTACAGCGGAAACTGGACCGCCACATGGCTCACGCCAAACAGGCTCGGCAGCAGCCCCTTGTAGAAGCCGCGCAGGCCCTCGGTCCGGAAGATCTGGACAAACGCATCACCCGTGTGCCGGTACCGCCCCGCCGCCTTTTGCCCGCCCGACTGCAGCATGAAGCGCGTCTTGACCACCCAGAGCGGAGAGGTGCAGATCGTGCTCGCCGCACCCGCCGTCATGGCAGAGAGGATGTGGTTGAGGAAGTCCTCTTCGCCGCTCTGCGACAGGTCGTGCGCCAGCACCTGCTTGCAGCTGTCGTAGACGGTAAAGTAGATGGCCCACGTGGGCAGGTACCCGAAAATCGTCGGACCGAGGCCACGGTAGAAGCCGCGGAAGCCATCGTCTCTCCAGATTCGCTTAAGCGTATCTGTGAGGGGCGGCACAGGAGCGAGGCAGGAAGTGAGGTCAGAAACGGGCTTTGCAATGGTCAGGAGGGCCGGCATCAAGGCCGTGGGGCGAGATCGGCGGTGCAAACGAGCACTCACCGGCTAGCCCGAGGTATCTTGCGCCCTGTTCGGCTGCAATGTCGCCGGCCGTGACAGCTGCGTTCGGGGAGAGTCGACCGCCGCTTGCTGCGGCCATGCCGACGTTTGGTCTCCCTGCTGATGGTGGTGGTGACGTTGATGCGGTCGCCGACGGCGCGCCGCGGTTACTTGGCCGCCTACCCTCCTGGGCCTGCAGCCGAGTCTTTACGACGTCGAGCGGACAAGTGACGACGCTCGACACCAGGCCGGCACAGGCGCCGGCGATGGCCGACGAGTTCATCTCGGCCCGTGCAGCGTCGTAAAACTGGCTCTGGGGCAGACGGTACCGGCGCTAGCGTCGTTCGGAGACTGTCGTCGCAAGATCTGCGCTGGTCCAAGTGTCGCTGGACGTTGAAAAGGCAGCGTGGGTGCGAGTCGGTGCAACGCAACAGGACCGTTGGGTCTGTCGGGTCAAGGAAGACGGGCGGGGGCTGCTCGGGCTTGTGAGATAAGTGCAAGCTTCGGTGTGCACTGCCGAGCGTATTGGCAACGTGTCGAGGCGAACGTATCTGCGTGGTTTTCCCGGTGGGATTTGTCGAAGAGCGAGGTTGTATCTGGTCGATGTGTGTCCGGGCAGCAGCGCAGCAGTGTGATGACCAGACACGCGTGCGCACCAGATACGCCTGTTCGGGAGAGTGGAAGCTGATCGTATGATGGTCGATTGGTGTGTGATAGGAGAGAGTGAGGAGTTCGCGCGTTGGCCCGGGCGTAGTCGCAGCAGAAGCTTCCGCAAGGTTTACGTGATATGCAGGCGGATACCGGTGCGGTGCGGTGCGCCCGATGGGGAAGAGGGCCGGCTCTAGAGTAGGATGAGGGTGTGGAGATGTCGAGGTGCGGCGCGTGAGTGAGGACGCCCGAGGACGAGGCAGGCGAGGGGGCGACGGCGGTGATGGTGGTAATGGTGGTGGTGGAGATGATGACGAGGGGCCGCCCGCAAAGTCGGATCGGGTCGGCGTTGGGCGGCTGCTCGCTCGTCGGGGGGGGGGGAATTGGAAATGTGGAGCTGCCCCGTGCTCACTCGCGACTTCGCCCCGCCTTTTCACGCCGAGCTGTGCTGAGCTGGCCTGAGCTCACCTGCACAGCCTTGCGCCGCCACCCATCTTCCAAGGAGCCCGACTCTGTCGTCGACTCGCTCAATCGATATGCAAGCGTGGCACCCCTTCGTCAACATCGTCAGTAGCGTAACGCAGTTCGGTAGGACGAAGTAGATTGCGTGGGACGCGCTACGACGCACCCAGCGCCCGCTAAAGGTCCGCATGTCACCAAAGCCAGGCCACCGGTAGCAGCCCAACGACGACCGATTGCGGGGCCAAGATGTGGTGGTTGACGGCCTACGCAGCCCCAAGGGACACAAGACGAGATAGTGCTCATGTCCTCGAGGTCCCAGGACACTCTCAGACGCGCCAACCAGGCAGCATCGCAACTCCTGTGCGTCCTGCGGGGGCCGGCGCGCCACCGGCCAGCATCTTGGCTCGTGCCTGTCTTTGTTATGAGCCACCTCAGCGGCGGGGCGGTCAAGGGATATGGCTCGAGTCTCCCTGTATATGAGGCGTGCCGCCGGCCTTGGTGCACATCTCGGCGAAGTCGTCACCGACGCTGGCGCAGCGGTCACTGGCGCTACCAAATCAGAGTGGGTCGGCAGGCCTTGAAGGGGTTGGTCTGGGGTTACACGTGGGCGACATCGCACTTCTGGTTATCGCTCGAGCAGCACACGGCGCTCTGGACGACCGGGTTTATCACCCCAGCTACGCTGGCGATGGCCGAGACGAGCTTCGAGGGGAGCTTCATGGCTGGCGAAGAGGGTCAAAGGTTGAGGTTGCTGCGCGGCGAAGAACGCGTGTTGATCCGCTGGGAGTCATGCGTCGGCCGCTCGGTCTGGTGCCTATTCGCGCGTCGGATTGTGGCTCGCCTGTCAGCTGGGAGGCCAAGTGGCGGTGTCGAGTGGATAGATGAGGGGGTGAGGGGGGCGATCGAGGAGGGGTTGGTTAGTAGGATGTCCCCTCTCCAGGTCAGCCAGGCCCTTGTACAGTACTACTGTTGCATCATGACTTTGGATCTCATTCAGGAAGTCGAAAGTGGGGCGCCTTCGGGGAGCGGAGGCGATAGTGTAGGTACGTTAGCTTGGCCCTTCCGGTGAGTCCGCCCGTTTATCAGCCATAGAATGGTGTGGGAACGACTGCGTCCTCGCTCACTCAAGCCCTTACCGCTCCCATCATCGTGTCACACATTCACTTCGTCACAAACTGTCATGCTCGCACACGCTGTGTCGAGAACAAGAGGTCGTCGCTGAGCGACAGAGTAGGCTTGCGGTTCGGCGGAAGAATGGCGGGGGACGCAGAGAAAAAGCTTGGACAAGTTGGGCGCCTGGTGGAACCGTGCGGTCAGAAAGCGCAGCTCGATTCTCGGCCTGTCATACGCAGTGGGAGACGGGGAGCCTCTTGCATTCGGCGCACAGGGCTGCGCCGCCGATGTCGCACAGGGCCTCAGGACTGTCCGTCGAGGCCGTGTCGCAGCCCGGAAGCGTGACGCTCTGGAGAGCGCTTGGGTCCGAGGTGAGCAAGCTCGCAATGCAGGTTTTGGCCCCCTTGCGCTCATTCGACCTGAATGAGAAGATCACAGGCTCGGGTTCAATAAAGTCTATGGCAGAGACGATCATCGCCGTGGTGAAGAAGGCTGCGGCGAAAGTGAGGAGCTTCATGGTTGGTGCTGAGGAGCGAGGCAAGCAGACAGGGACCGGACATCAGTACATCGCGTCATACAAGGGGTAGGTGCTCACGTATGCTCGCCAACATCCGTGTACTTACCCACTGGAGATGAGAGTAGAAGAGTGTGAAGAGGGCTTGGAGATGCAGTCGATGTGTGCGAGGAAGGGAACCCAGGGTCGCTTCAATGTCACCTTATAAGCCTTCAGATCTCAGCTGGACGACGTCTGCTGGCCAGCTGGAGGGGCGTCCTCGACGTGGTCCTCTATCCTCACCTAATTTGGGCGTGTATCGCAGGCCGCCCTTGCCATTCCCCCACACGACTGACCAGGGCTGCGATGGTTTCTGTAGGTGGGTTGAGTGCAAGGATGCGAACACAGCCATCGGTGGGGCCCAATTCGGAACACCTTCCGAAGATGATGTGGGGCGACGGGAGAGACGGCTCGTGTAGCCCCGACGATGTTACGCAGGCGTCGTATTGGCCCCGCTCGTTCCCACGGTTGCGGATGTCCAGGGTGCTCGCTCGTGCCGCGGAGTGCGAGGCCTCTGTGCCGGTGAGCATAAACCAGGACGAAGCGATCCGGAGCCACACTTGGTATGAGAGCTCCCGTCCTGCGAGCGTGCCGGCGTGTCCGGGCCTGCGGGTCAAGATGTGGAAGCGCACTTTGCTCGGGGAGAATCTCTGAGCAGTTCGAATCGGCAGGCACGGCAAGGTTGCCATCGTCATCGGAACGAACCCCACCTCGTTGCATCGCCGAAGGTGATCACTGTGGGCATCGCAATCAAGGCCTGTGCTTTCGGGACGTGAAGCGGTAGTTGCAAGCGCGGCCCATACAGACACAGAGATGGACGCCCAGAGACGACGCCAGATCAGAGGGTAGTATCGCCACACGAGATCACAGATGTGAACGGAGAAAGAAAGGACCGATGCGAGGGCAAAGTCCCGGGTCTCTAGCGGCAGTCGCCGGCGTTCGCCGTGCAGCTGCTGCAAAAGGCTGCTCCGGAGCTGCTGCAACCGATGGCACCCACGGTCATGTGGGCCGGAGGGCATCCGACGATCTCGATGCCCGAGAGGTTGGGGTTGTCGACGTCGGCCACGGGAATGTCGCACCTCAATCCGTCTTTGGACATGAAGATGATGTCCATGGCGACCACGGGGTTGATCGCCACGGCGACGAAGAAGGTCAAGGCGAGCGCGAGCACGTTCATCGAGGGCGTTGGCTGATGCTGTCGAGCGTGCGGACGTGTGCCGACCAGACGGCGTCAGTGTGTCACTCTATAAGCGCGCAAGTGGTGGACATCGGGCCACGTTGGTAGGTTGATACGCACCGAAATGGCTTGAGCGAGAGATTGAGAGGCAGGATGGACACGGTTTAGAGGAGGAGGAATCGAGGGACAGCCGGGATGGGGGACGGCCGCTCGAGGGGCGCTATATATACGCAGCGGCCCACCTTGGACGTCAGCGGCGAGCCAAGCGTTCCTTCTCCGATGCCTGCCTGACGCCTTCTCTGGCCTTCTCTGGCCCCACACACACCAAGCTCGGATGTTGTGTGGGCGGAATGAGACTTTCGGCGCCCAGCAGGGCCGTGTGGGGCCGTCGGCAGTCACGGCTGTGCCATCACACCGGCAAGAAAGGATCGGGAAGTCACCACAGTCTCAGGAGCACCATCCGAGCTATCCTTGGTGTGCATTGATTGCGATCCAGCGTCGGACCCCGGTATAGGACAGCAGGAGTCCGCGGCCTCTAAAGCGCGAGAACGACAGAATGCAGCGGTCGCGGGGCGCTCGGCGTCGACCTGGCGACGTGGCGCTGCCGTCGACCTGTTCCGCGTCCTCAATACACAAAGGGGATGAAGCGGTATCGGACGATGGAGCAGTACTTGTCCCAGTCCTTGCCGTACTTGCGCTCGCAGCGCTCAAAGTCGCGGCCGCAGCGGTGGGTGAGGACGGCGAGGAAAAATAGGCAGTAGTAGTAGGGGATGACGGAGTTGAAGCCGGCAATGGCGCCCCACAGGAACGACTGGGTCCAGTCGGCGGTGTAGTTTGGCTTGCGGAGGAACTGCCACCAGCCGTCGATGAGGAGGGCGTTGCCGTGCTCGGTCTGCAGGTAGCGCGGGTTCTCGAGCGTCGACCAGGGCCACTGCGGGAAGGTCCAGCGGACGGCGTAGGTGCCCTGGAGGTGCATGCGGAAGCGCGACTTCTGGGCCATGGAGCTGTCAAAGACCCAGTGGGCAAAGATGAGCAGTGAGTACATGAAGACGTAGGTCGGCGTGCTGAACTTGTAGTAGTGCGGCGGGTGGGCGGCCATGTAGACGATGCTGTAGCAGTAGGTGAAGGGGACGCCGGCAAAGTTCCAGAAGATGACCATGAAGCCCCACTTTTCGTGGAACATGTCCCACGTCTGCGGGATGCACTCCTCGCCCTTTGCGCAGGCGTTGATGTAGAGGCCGGTGGCGAGCACCATAAAGGCCATGTTGGGCGTCACGTAGCCGTAGACCTCGTACTGCTTGCACGCGCCGCTGACGCTGATGAGGAAGAGGAGGACCCAGGGGATGCGGACCTCGGCCCACATCTTGAGGTCGACGTTGCCGATGCGCGGGTTGAGGGCGGCGCCCATGAAAAAGTCGTAGGCAAAGTTGCCGCTCATACGGTGCGCCTGGTTGGTGAGGACGGCGTGGAAGTAGGTGGCGGCGCTGACGGCGTAGCCGGCGATCATCGAGACGGTCATGTACTCGCCAAAGTGCTCGATGATGGTCGTCAGGCGGTAGGTGCCCGACAGGTGGAGGCCGGCGCAGACGATGAGGGTGGCGTAGAACGACGAGAGGGCGTTGCACTTGTACATCAGCGTCTTGTAGTTGAGCGAGGGCACGGGCAGGCCCTCCTGCCAGTAGCCGGGCATGACGACGGCGAGGAGGAACTGGAAGACCATCAGGCCGCCGTAGCCGGCAAAGGCGCGCTTGGTCGGGTAGGCGTCGTGGTAGACGTGGGCGCCCATCCTCTGGAAGAATGGGCCGATGTCGTCGATGCCGTTGGGAATGACGAGCTTGCCGTCGTAGAACCAGAGGCAGATCCAGAGGTAGTACATGAGGAGCGGGAAGAGGGTCATCATGGCCGTGACGCCTACGGGTCCGCCGAACTCGTACTCGTAGTGCTCGTCGAGCTTCTTGTCCTTTTCGCGGCCCTTTTCCGTGATGACGATGCCGGGCGTGTACTTGATCATGGTGTTCTGCTTTCCGCCGCCCATGATCTGCTCGTCCTTCATGTCGACGTGGAGGTACGAGTGCTTGGGGACGTAGTCCTTGTTGGCGCGGTGCTCTGCCTCGTCCTCGACGGCGGCCTGCTTCTGAGCGGCCGAGGGAGCGGCCGAGGCGGCGGCATCCCTCTTTGCGGCACTCCGGGTGCGCAGACCGGCAGAGTCGGCCATGGTTGTTGGTTCTGAAGGGAGCGTGGGTGCGAGAAGGGGGGGACGAGTCGAAAGAGGGTGGTGGTGGTGGTGGTGGTGGTGGTGGTGGTGGTGGACGACGGGAGGGATGGCTTGGGAAGACGGGACGGAGGTTGACGCCGAGCCTGTCTGTCTCGAGACTTTCTCCAGCCCGGCCTCTTGCTTCTGGGATCCGTGGTTTCTTTGCGCGTCGGCTCGGAAGCAAAAAGGCCAGCAGCAAGCACGTCTGCCACAGGCCGGCCAGGGCAGAGCAACCAGGCCAAACGAGGGAAGGAAGCAGGCGCGCCGGCTGGTTGGCAGCAGGGGTCCGCGGACAGGCCGGCCGACCAACACCACCGGGCCTTCCGCCGGCCGGCCTGTCGATCTGTCTCTTTGTCAGGCCACTTTTTCCGCCGTTTCACCCGGCCGCCCTTGCGCACGCACGCGCGCACGCACGCACGCACGCGCACACACAGATGCGCGTCTGTGACTCTTGCCCGTCTACCGAGGGAAAGCGAGCGCACACCTTCGGTTCCGCTTCGCAGCGCCCCCAACGTGGAGGCCGCCCTCCCAAGGCTCGCCTCTTCTGTGATACCATGTTGACGCCGTGGTGGACCGAGTCAGGCCGCCGAGGATGTAGACAGATGGGTGAGCAGTGGGTGTTCAGGGATGGCCGCCATGGTGCAGACAGAAGAGAGGTAGTTAGGCGCGGTAAGGCCAGGCAGGTAGTATTGCAATATAATGGGGGGATCGGGCCGACAAGCAAGCGGGCCCGATTGTTGGACGGATGGACGGCGAGGACGGGCGACGTCATCTCGCACGCGTGCAGCGGCCGAGGCTCCACCCATCCCAACCTGTCAGGCCGGAATCGCCGATGTCTCGACGACGTGCGCGTTGGCTCGCCGGGCCCTCTGGCCCTGGCCCTGACCCTGGCCTGACGCTGCCCGGCCTGGCTGCGACCCGTGGGGGCCGCCTGGACCCTCTTTGCTCCTCCTGTCACCGCCATCCTCGACACTACCGCCATCCTCCAGCACTCGAGCCCTCGTCGTCTACCTCGCCTCCCACACCCTCGCACATTCCATTCACCATCTTGCCATCGCCCTGGTCCCGTCGACGCAGCGACCCGCTCCATCCTGCCCCGCTCCCTTTGGATCTGTCGCCGTCAACGGCCTGCGCTCGTGGCAGGCACGCGGGCCACCTGCGCGCCCCTTCGGCAAGCACAAGCGCCACCGCCTTGCTATCTTGATGACCACGACGACAGCCACGACAACGATATAGGCACAACAGCGGCAGGGCCTGACGCAACGCAACGCCTCGCACCGACGCCGACCCCGCGGCTCACCCGCAACTGCGCTCCGCGCCCCGCGAGCCGCGCTGGACGCTAGCCTAGGCCATCCTTTCCCTTCCTCCTTGCCCACCAGCGCCCGTGGCCCACGATGCTCGAGGGTGTGCTGGCATCCGTACTTAACCGCTTTCTGGCGGCCTACGTCGACGGCCTCAACACCAGCCAGCTCAACGTCGGCATCTGGAGCGGCGATGTCAAGCTCAAGAATCTCCGCCTAAAGACGAGCGCGCTCGACAAATTCCGCCTGCCCATCGACGTCAAGGAGGGCTACCTCGGCGACCTCACCCTCTCGATACCCTGGTCCAACCTCAAGGGCAAGCCCGTCCGCGTCCTCGTCGAAAACGTCTACCTCCTCGCCGCGCCCAAAAACAGCAGCGTCGAAGTCGACGAGGCAGAGGAAGAGGAGCGCGCACAGGCGGCCAAGCAGGAGAAGCTCGCCAACGCCGAGCTCCTCGGCCGCGACAGCCAGCAGACCATCGGCATGAGCCAGGAGGACGCCCAGAAAAACGAGTCCTTCACCAGCTCCCTCATCACCAAGATCGTCGACAACCTCCAGATCACCGTCCGCAACATCCACATCCGCTACGAGGACCGGCTGTCGAACCCGGAGCACCCATTCTCGGCCGGCATCACGCTGGCCGAGTTCTCGGCGGTCTCGACCGACGCGAATTGGACGCCCACGTTCATCCAGAGCAGCGCCGAGGGCATCCACAAGCTCGCACGCCTCGAGTCGCTCGCCGTCTACTGGGACACGGACTCCGAGTCGCTCGCCGGCCACGAGGTGGCCGAGGCGCAGAAGAGGTTCGGCGCCCTCATTGCGCGCGAGGGCCATGCGCCCGACCACCAGTTCATCCTCAAGCCCGTGTCGGGCGCCGGAAGGCTCATCATGCGGCGGAAGATGACGTCGGACACCCCAAAGCTGGATGCTCAGCTGCTGTTCGAGGAGCTCGGCTTCGCCCTCGACGACGAGCAGTACCGCGACGTCATCTCGGTCGCCGACCTCTTCCACTTCTACACGCGCCAAGCCCAATACCGCCGCTTCCGGCCCAGCGCCGAGCAGCTCGACGAGAATCGGCCGAGGGCGCTGCTGCGCTTCGCCGGTCAGGCGATCCTCAACGAGGTCCACGAAAAGCACCGCACCTGGACATGGGACTACCTCCGCGAGAGGCGCGACGACCGCAAGGAGTACGTCGCGCTGTTCAAGGGCAAGCAGAAGCAGGCGGAGAAGGTCAATCAGCAGCAGGCCGGTGTGGCCGTGGCGCAGAGCGACGAGGGGGGCCGGCTGCGCGAGCTGGAGCGCAAGCTCTCGTACAAGGACATCCGCTTCTACCGGTCGATAGCACGGCAGGAGCTCAAGAAGGAGGCGGCCGAGGCCAAGAGGGACGAGGTCGCGCACGGCGGAGGCGTCGGCGGCATCGGTCTCGGTGTCGGTGGCGGTCAGCAGGGCGCGAACAAGGGCGGCGGATGGCTCAGCTGGATCTGGGGCGGCGGCGGAGGAGCGGGCCAGCAGAAGCACGGCGACGACTCGGGCATGCTGAGCGACGAGCAGCGCAAGGAGCTCTACGACGCCATCGAGTGGGACGAAGAGGCCAGCGCCACCGCCTTGGCCCAGGCGGTCGATGCGCCGCGCGACGCCATGAAGATGCGCCTCATCACCAAGCTCAAGACGGGCTCCATTGCCCTGCGCGACCACTCGCGTGGCAGCGACGTCCTCTCGCTGGTGTTTGACTCGCTGCAGGCGGACGTCATCCAGCGGCACGACAACCTCGAGGCCGCCGTCGCCCTTGGTGGGCTTCGCGTCTACGACGGCACCACGCCCAACTCGCTCTACCCGCAGATTGTCCGCGTCAAGGACGAAGAGGTGCCCGGCCGCCAGACTTCCGACAGCTCCGACCTGCGCGAGATCGAGGCCGAGGTCGGGCGCGAGAGTGACCCGGACAACCCGTTCTTCTACGTCAAGTACGAGAACAAGCCGCTCGACGACCGGGCCGACAACGCGGTGACGCTCAAGATGCGTTCGATGGAGATCATTTACCACCGCGGCTACGTCGAGTCGATCGTGAGGTTCTTCAAGCCGCCCGAGAGCGAGCTCGAGCTGATCGGCGCGCTGATCGACGTGGCCAGCGAGACGATCGAGGGCATCCGGAAGGAGACGCGGGCGGGCCTCGAAAACGCGCTGCAGAACCACAAGACGATTGACATCGTCGTCGACGTCAAGGCGCCCATCATCATTGTGCCAGAGGATGTCACGACGGAGCGGTGCCAGCACATCGTTCTCGACGCCGGCCACATCGGCGTCCAGTCGGTCCTTGCCGACCAGGGCGCGCTCGACACGGTGCGCGCCAAGCAGAACAAGGCCTACACCGACGACGACTACCGCCAGCTCGAGGACCTCATGTACGACCGCTTCTTTGTCAAGCTCGAGTCGGCGCAGCTGGTCATGGGCAACAACCTCAAATCCTGCATTGCCGGCCTCACGTCGGATTCGACCGACCATGGCCTGCACCTGCTGGAGCGCATCAACCTCAACTTCACCCTGCACAATTCGATACTCCCGTCGGCGCCCAACCTGACCAAGTTCAAGATGACGGGCCACCTCCCCACGCTGCGGCTCAACTTCTCCGACCGCAAGTACAAGACGCTGATGCGTATAATCGAGGTGGCGCTGCCCAACTTCGACGACGGGGACGGCGACGGTGCCGGCGCAGAAGCCGAGACCGCTCGCCTGGATCCCATCACGGAGGAGCTCGAGCCTTCCGCCGTGAATCAGGGCGCCGACGAAGACGGCGATGGTGACGGCGAAGGGCGGTATGCCACGGCGGCGACTTCGCGCAACGGCTCGAGATTCTCGGCCGCGGGCGGCGCCGCCTCGGGGCGGGCGCTCGACCTCAACAAGGAGCGCCGCCTACGCCTCGCCGGCCAGCTGCGCGGCGAGGACGACTTTGTGCTGGACGACGCCGACGACGACGACGGCAAGGACGACTTCCAGGACGCCGAGGACGCCACTGCGGATCGGATCAACGCGCACCAGAAGAACTTTGAGATCAACTTCGTCGTCGACTCGCTACACGCCTCCATCTACCGCTCCAATACGGATCCAGAGCAGCCCGATCGCCTGCTGGTCGAGGCGGTGTTCGAGGGGTTCCTGCTCAATGTCGCCATCTTCCCCTTCCACATGGAGGTCGATGTGGGCCTGCGCAGCCTCGAGCTCGAGGACAAGATCGTCGAGCAAGCCGCGCAGTTCCGACACCTCATCACGTCAAAGCACGTCAAGGACGGCAGCACCCCGCCCGCCTCGCGATCCACCACCGCCGATCCCGCCAACGGCAACGGCAACGCCGCCGCGGTCCCCGACAGCCGCGACCTGGTCAGGGTCAAGTATACCCAGGTCCAGCCAGACTCGCCCGAGTTCATGACCAAGTACGAG